ACAGTGACTTTTTTCACTGTTTAGTACAGCTAAAGTACAAGAGTGAATTTAAAACGCAGTCAAGTTTATGGAGAGGTTCCCAATTCTTTAGGAAGGGTGTGAACAGAAGCTAAAACCTCTGTCTATTAGGTGAAGCGGCGCTGCATGGTGATGGCTCTGCCGGATGAAATGAACTGGAATTACAACGCCGCGGTGTTGCATTGTTCCAAGGTCGTTCCCGGGGATATCATTATGGAAATTCACATATTCATTCAGATTTAAGAGCTTCGCAGTGTTGTGCTTCTTTAAATGAAGGCAACAAACTTAAATTAAAAAAAAAAAAAAAAAAAAGTTAATCTGTATTGTCTCCCGCTGCCTCGTACGGTAGACCTGCTTTGTGGTGATAAAACCAAAACCGCTCGCCATCGTGATCCGATTTGTTCTGCGCTCTCGGCCTATCAGAGGACGTCCAGTTCCGACTCGGTTGGAGCCGATATGGAGCGGAGTCAATCAGGGGACAGTGGAGATGGGGCCCACCGATGGGAGCCAGCGAGTGTCGTCACGGGGACGCAACAGTGGCTGATAATTGGGCGTGGGAGTTCGTGGCAACAAAGCAACGCGGCCTTAGTAATAAGATTAATGATGTTGTGTTAGGTCTCGTTTCACTAAGGAGTGGATTATCTCTGAACAGCCCTCCTAAGGTGAAGGAAAGGACAATTACTAATACACAGATTCATCAGGCTCATTCCCTTTTCGGGCTAAGATTGAAATTATGTTTCAGAGCTGGGTCAGGCCTCATTCCCACGGAAAAACAGCAATTCACTCCCAAAATGACTTCGGCACTCGTTAACAAATTGCTTCTTTAGCTGGAGTTTTGCCGTTGGAGAGTTCAGATCGAACACCTTGAAGGTCAGAGCTGTGACCCAAACACAGGAAAAACTCATTAGAAATTATCTTTGGACCATGTCAGGGCTAAATGCTGCAGCAGGCTTCCAGCAGGAGTATCTAGGATTAACACAGAGACACAGGAAGCATAACGCTGTGGGAAAAATATTCCCATTTATCCTGTTATTGATTTGATTTTTGTTGTTTGTTTTGGTCAAACCCTAAAGTTTCAGATCATCAGATAACTTTTCAGCAAGTGAACCAGATTAAATGTAAAATGCAAGTTTTTTTGATAATTTCATTAATTCATGAAAAACTACACCCAAACCAAACTATGGGCCAAAAAGTAACTGATGCTGTTTTATATTATAATTAAGCAGATTTCTTTTTTTTAACTGAATTGAGGTTCACTGCCTGACCTGTAAGATAAACAGAACCTGTCTGACAACATGAAGTACACTAAAGGACCTCAATCTAAAGAAACTCAAGAAGGTGAGAAGAAAAAGATTCTGACATCTGTCAGGCTGTAAAGGCTCACAAAGTGATTCCTTTGGAACCACAATGAGAAACGTAACACACAAATGAAGGAAACAGAATACTGGGGAACTTGGAAAAGAAACCAAAAATCATTCCATGAACACAATGATAACTCATCCAGATGCAAAGAATCCAGGATTTGCTGGCCTCACTCAGCTCAGTTAAGGTCAGAGTTTAAAATTCAACATGAAGCAAAAAGGCTGAAACGTTTTGAAACATTCTGAGGCCAAAAAGGGGAACTTTCTAAAGAGCATGTGTTCTATTGGATGTGAAGCAGAAAAACAACATTGTACTGACAGTCAATGATTGGTTGTAGTGTGTTGTTGTTGGGTTTAGTCTTGATTTCATGGTGGTTGATGGAACCATCAAAAATGTCACTCTTGATAAGAAAATCCTAAAGGCTGCTACGTACTTTGTTTGAAGCTGAATCACGTGGTTACAATCTGCTTTCTCTCTCACCTCTCATACCACGATGCAGGCCACACCCCCTACAGCTCAGAGGCGGAGCTTAGGGTAAATATGTGGCAAACTGTACACCCTAAAGGCATTCAGAAATTTTTCAAACATGACTGTCTGAAATGTGTATGGTGTTGATGAGAGAATGACATTACAACGTGATCTAAAAATTAAAAAGTCGATTTTGTATAATGGCCCCTTTAAAACCTTTTATATGATTTAAAAAGATGAACTACTGTCCTTTCATTCTGTATACACTGGAGCTTTTAATAATAAATATTTCTCAGAGAATACTATAAGTGCAGAGTGTCGCTGTTTTCATCTGAAGCAACTGGGTCAAACGCCGGCGCCATCTGGTGATGTAATGAGGGTAAGTCAAAATGTAAACAACTAAGGCTGGGTGCACAAAAGCGGAGGATGTTGTGAACGATTTATCTGCAGGTTAGGAGGAAGAAGCTGGATGGAGTGATAGAGAAGAGGAAGCTGGTTCTACTGGAACCAGACTTATTGAGCCGTTTAGTTCAGGAAGCAACGATGACTCCAACGTTTCTGGGGAGGATAACAGGAACTGTCCCCTCTAAATCACTGATTATAATAAACAGATAGTATTAATAGTTATTTATCTTTAAATCTGATTAAATTCACATAATCCAGTAACTTCAAGCTTACTAGTTCAAGTTCTGTGTGTCCTAACATGTTCTGAGCATGTTGTTCATTAACCCATTCCTCCCATTTCTACGTCTTCAATTCCATTTTTCTACTTCTGATAATTGCATAACATCTCTTTCAGCTGACGTCACACACCGTCAGCACACTAAGTGTACTGTCGCCTGCAGAAAGAAAGCAAGCATAAATTATTCTATTTACAATTAGGATAATAAAATTATTTACAACAGCATTGTGACATTTTGAGGAGGAGGCAACAGGCGATGGCTGATCTCCATGGAGATCAGAAAACAGGAAAATCCTGTGGTTTTCCACACATGAAGAGGCATCGTCACACTTTCTGTTGTTGCTCTGGAAGCCGTGGTGGATCAGCGCCTACCAAGATGGCCAGTCAGTGTTGTGGACCACTTCCACTTAAGATGTGTGGAAACCATGCATGGTGAGAAGCTGTTGGAATACGAGTCAAAACGTTGGACCAAAGACAAAGACAAACACCACTAAATAGTAAGGATTGAGTTGTGGCCGGTCCGGGTTCTACCTGCTCCAGAAACAGCTCACAGTTCAGTGTTGCAGTCACACACAGATGAACATTCCTTTATTGTGTCTTTATGAACAGTTTGCACAGTTATGACTTATCATTAGCAACAAGGATGACTCATCAATGACAACAGGTCATTTCAGAGTTGGTATTGTTTATGAAACAAAATGTCTGAATAAATAATGAAATGTGAACAAATCGGGCCTTTGTTTTCTTCCTTCCAGTGACTGAACCTCCTGTATACATTATAAATCAATTCATCTAGCAAAAAACAGGTCCTAGCTTTAGAAAATATGGATTTACAGTTCAAGCCCTGTGACTTCAATAGCATCCAAAAGGAAAACAAAAGTCTGAAACCAGTAGTAAAATGTCACTATAATACAAGAATTATAATAAAGTTCTCTCTAATAAAAACTGTATCAACCAACCGGAAGGAATTCTACCAGAAAAGACATTCTCCTGTTCGCACAAATCGGACAAGTTTTAGAAGTTTAGGCAAAGTTTTTAATTTGCAAACATTTCACTGACATATTGTTTTGTTGCCTTTTGTCGGGACTGAGGCAAACCATGTGAGCAGATGTCAAAGTAACACTTTATTTTACAGCCTTTGCAGTTTGTGTGTCATGTTGTACCTCATAGTCACACAGATCTATGTCTGCAGATACAGTACCAATAAAAATTATTCATTCCCTTGGATCCTCTTCACTTTAAATCGATCCATCATGATGAGCAAAGTTTGGCTTTTTGGACTAAAGAGTTGAGATAAAACGCTTTAATGTTGAAGTGAAAATGTATTTCTACAAAAAATAATGACAATTAAATAAAGTATTTCACATAAAATAAGTGTTGCATGAATATTTCCCATTGACTACATGCATATTTTTATTTGATTGTAATTATTTTTGTAGTAATCGATTCTCACTTTAACATTGTAACATTTTTATTTTGTAATTAAAAAAAAAAAGCCAAATTTTGTGGATTGGGATTGATTTATAAAAGCAAAATCAATCATAACCAACAAAAAAGGTAAAACATTCAAGGGGGTGAATACTTTTTAAAGGCACTGTATTTCTTTTGGATCATCTAAAAAGAATCAGCACTGATCCTGAATTTACTTCAGTAGATTTAAGATGCAATACCATTTTGTTGAAAAAAAAAAAAAAAAAAAAAAAGTAAAAAATAAGGATTTTCGGTTGTGCTACATTTCTTCCAAGAGAAAAACAACAACAAAAAACATTCAAAAATGTATAATTTTACCACCATTTTGTCTTGAGAAATCACATTTTCTGAATTCCCATTTAGCATTACAGCAAGAACGGCACCTGAAGTCAGAATGCTGACATCTGGAGGTTACCAATATGAGTTCAATATCAGTTTCCAGTATTGGTGACATGGCACGTAGTCATCAGCACATTTGACATTTTATGTTTCAATACACACACATGAAATGTTCCTTTTGTGTTTCAACACAAAAACATGGAGAGGAAAACCAAAATGACTTGTCCTGCTAATTGCAGCCAAGACCACGACTACAAGCAGATCTTCATGTCAACGTGGTTCCAGATCTGAGCTCTAACATCTGAGGCGAATGGGAAACGTCCATGTCTGGTTACACAGCGACAAGATATTAGGTGTAAATCTGAAGTGAAACATATGCAGTGTGATATTTTTGCATGAAAGGTATATAGAATAAATATTAAGAAGCTGAGCAGTAATGGTGACTGTAATTTGTGACATTTCTACGTTTGGAAATATGTCGATTATCTGCTAGTTTGGAAGGCAATTCGATCAACGCTGATGGAGAAGAAACTGAATTTGTCTTGATTTAGCAAATAGGAAATGCTTTGTTGGACATGGGCAGCCATATTGGATAGACTGGATGTCTTTGTAAAAGTCATTGTTTTGCTTATTCAGTTTTTTTTTTTAAATATACAGTATATATCTTTTTTTTAACAAACGCTCATAATTTACTTTAATCCTGTTATTTTAAGAGTGCTACCTAAATTACACAACTTCTTATTAATTTGTTTAAATTGGCAGCTATAAAGTTAGATACTGTGTTGGAGTTAGCCAGCTATGAGCTAACAGTACAGACAAATAGTTTAAATTGTCAAACAAATGTTACTAACAGACAAAGACAACCTGGATTAATGTGAAACACTGTTTTCTAATGATTTTGATTTATTACAGGAATATAAATAGAGTCAAATTGTGCAATTATCTGATCAATGGAAACAGATAATTTTGCAAAGTTCTTGTTAAGGACAAATCAGTTTTATTCCGAAGTCCTTTTCTAGTTATTTCATCTTACAAAGGTTTTAGTTGTAACATCAAGCCTGCTCTTGATGGTGCTGGCTTATGCAGCACCAGCCTCTGAAACAGTGGAAGGTTTTGGATGGCCTAGTCAAAGTCTATACTTAACTCCGATTGAGATCCTTAGACAGGATGTCCATGTTAACTCCCCCCCCAAAAAACACTCCAACTTTTCTTCCTGCTAAAAACAGCAGGCCAAAATTCCTTCAAAATAAAAGACTCACTGCCAGATAATAAGGCTCCATGGCAGCTGTTACAGCTAAGCTAAGCCATCAGGTTTAATGAGTGATTTCTTTTTCATGTACAGACAAGTTGTATATGAAACCAACCTACAGCTAGGTTGGAGTGCAGGGGCTCTTTTCATTATTAAATTTATTTTTAAAACCTCCTTTATGTATTTATTCGTGTTATCTTTGTCTGATATTAAAATGTGTTTAATGATCTGTGTCAAAAAGAATCCCAGGAGAAATCTGTGTGGGCGCAAATATGTTTGGACAGCACAGGGGGAACATCTCAGACAAATCAGCAGCCCATCACAATCATACACACACACAAAAGGGTAAATTACACGTATAGTTTTGAGCAGCAGGAGGAAGCTGGAGTACCCGGGGAGAACCCATGCATCTACGAAGGACGACATGCAAACAACAACAACCCAGAAAGCAAAGCCAGGATTCAAACCCAGGAGATTCTTGCTGTAAGACGGTGGTGCTGGCAGCTGTGCCACCGCATTGCCTCGTCACAGATTCACTTTGATGTGAAACTTCTCTTCTTTAAGAAAGTAAAACTTTTTTTCTTCATTAAAGATGTGCTTACGTTGAATTAATTCCTGAATCAAAGGCTGCTCTAATAAGAAAATGCATCCCTTTAAGAATGGACTCCATAAAACCTGTCAAATGATGTGCTTTTTAAAACACATTGTAATGTGTGTTTATATAGTCAATATAAAATATATTAATTTATATACAAACCTTATTTTCAAAGGTTTCTTTTTTAATTAAGCAAAAAAAACGAATCTGTCGTTAATTTCTTTGAGCCTTTACATGCCAGACAAAATCGAAAATCTAGAGTTGGCGTCATTTCTGTTTATTAGCACCATAACACTCTAGACAGTTAGGAGAGGCAACGAGAGTAGCTTTATTGTTAACTAAATATGAACTAAAAACCACATTTTAGTGACAACCATATGTCACTTACCGTCTGAGTGGATTACAAAGACGTTCTTAGATTTAAATGTTTCATCTTTAGAAATTTGAATATGTCAACAGTAACATAAAAACTGTTTTTATGTTACTGTTTGTTAAGCTAAACTGTTGCAGCAAGGACGTTGTTGAAGCAAAGAGAGCTGGATCAAAACAACATTATACAGTATCACAAAAGCCTGGTTTTGACTGTTTAAATATTAAATCTAAATACAAAAAAAAAACATGTAAAAGTCCATATTTCTGATATTATGGGATGGTACAGCATGGATAACTGAATGCTACTTTGGAAACATGCTAAAGTCACAACATTGTTTTGTTTCTCAGGAGTTTTATTTCTATTGCAACATTTCAGATACTAACGTTGTGCTCAGCTGGCCTGCCTGCAGTCCAGATCTGTCTCCTGCTGAGAGCGTGAGGTAGACTTCGAATCCCTTATTCAGCAAGCTGGCCACAGATTTACCTGTGCACCGCATGTAATGTTAACACACACAAAACCCCCCAAAACAAAACAAAAACCAGAAGCATCTCCCAACTGTCTGAGTGTTGCTGGCTTTAGCTTTTAGATTCGCATATTTATTGTCTGGCAAATAAAAGATGTGATAAATCACCTAATCCTTTAGCTAGCGCCGTGTGTTCAGTTGTGTTTCGACCAGAAAGCCTCTTGAACACGGAAAGATTGTAGAATAAAGTGCACTACAGTTGAGTTATACACATCTCCCAAGTACAGCAGCTGCAGGCCGGCCGGCCAGGAGGTTCTAGAGCTCCAGCGTGGTTCGTGTTGGGAAGCAGGTCTGACACCGCAGCCCGCTGTCAGAGCTCAAATCTGGGGTGAAGCTGGAGACAACCCAGGCCCTCTGGTGAGCCCCAGCTCATGTTCTCCACTTCAGTCTCATTCTGAACCGCTCTCTTCTAAAGTTTATTGCTGCCTTTCTGCAGCGGCATCAGAACGTTTCCAAACGCGCGACCCGTGCTACATCACTGCAGGGCTCAGGCTCTTCCCTGGGACTGGAAGTCACACTACTCTCATATATTCACCATAAATTATTATTATTTTTTCATTGTAGACAACAAACTTAAAATAATATGTCATAATTAAGGCAGTCTTTTCATTCTTAAACAAGAGATAAAACTGTATTCAGTAGGAAGAGAAAAAGAAAAGGTAGGTCCCAAAGATGTCACGTTTCCTTGCTTCCACAGGCGATCCTTTTACGTTTTGTTCTTAAATTCTCAAGTAAAAATCTTGGAGAGTTCTTAGATAGCGTCTCGTCCTGTTTACCTGTCGTTTTTGTATTTCAAGGCGTCCTTCTCGGCCTTACAAAAGCCTGGGCCCGTAACGCGGTCAGTAACTTCGGCTCTGGAGTTATACGTGGACCGATGGGACGCTCTTGTTGAGGACCTGCGCTCTCATTAGCTGGACGCTGGTCATGATCTTCTTCTGATGACCCATGAGCGTCACGCCGAGCCTCTGGATGTCCCTGGAGACATGAAAACTGAATCATTTTCATCATCCACACTGGCAAAAGCAGTGCTGTGGAAAAAAGAACCTCCCCTTTAAACGGGCTTTCGAACTTTCTGAGACTGTGTGTGCTGGTTGTGTTTAGGGGTCGGACCCAAGAGTAGGCAATGAACCAGAGTGTAAGATGATGTCCAAAATGGAAACTTACAAGGAGATTGGAAAAACTGACAGAGAAACGACTGAACCAACAGAAAAGAACAAGGAGGAAAAACAAAGTTGACAAGAAAAAATGGACAAGGACTGACAGAAAGACAAAAAGCTTCGTTTCCAACACAAATGTGCACAAAACATTGTCACTATTCCGCAAATGTAAAAAAACAAACAAAAAAACTAACCTTGCAATAGCTGTGTTTCCAGATAATAAGAAAGGCAATTAAAATCACCTGTGGATACATTTGTTTACGCGATAAGTCATTAAAAAACATGCAGCACCATCATCCTCCAGCTACTTCCTGTCATCTTCTTCTTCATGATTTGCACCAGTGGCAACATCCGTTGTTGATCATGTGACTTGTGTGAGACACACTCAAAAAAAAACCCCACACATTTTTATTGGAGTTTTGCAATTAAAGCAATTCCAATACCACAGACAAATCACCTCAACCTAGAGCCAAAACCTTTTAGCAAATAACTTTTTTTTTTTTTTAATTGCTGCAAATTTATTTTCAAAATGTCAAATTGTTCAATTGGTCAATGGAAACACAGCTAAAGAGAGCGGAAGAGCTAATCACAGTTGAGTGGAATCAGCTGGTGAAGGGAGCAGGCAGAGGCAAATGAGGAAATGATGAATAGCTGGGAAGGTGAGAAACAAACAAAGCAAGAAGAAAAGAAAACCCGACCAGCAAACACAAAGACAGTATTCTAGAAAATACATTTTAAAGCACAAACTTTGAGAATGAATGAAGTAACACAAGATATAAACTAAAAGTGTAAGAAAAACATTGAAGAAATAATCAAAACATAAACATAAATGAAACTGCTGATCATTACAGTAGCGCTCTGCAGATTACAAGGTTGCTGTGTGAACAGCTGGCTGTGCTCTGGACTTTAAAAAAAAAACACATTGTGAGCTAAAGAACACTGGGATTTATTGTGATTTCTTAACTTTTGTCTTATTTGATTAATGTTGCTTTTTTAGTCTGTTTGGGTCTGCTTTGTGACTTCTCTTCTTAATTCTACTTAATGATCACTGCTCTGTACCAAGTCATAACCACTTGAATTAAATGTCTTAATTCCATTTAATTTAGTTGATTTACTTACAACAACCATTTCATATTTCATAGTTTAAGGTTCTCCATCATAGTGCTGACTCACCCCTGCTTCATGCTTATGACGTGTCCCAGAGTGTGGAAGCCCCCTGCTGCAAAGTGTTCTTTGTATCGGCCCATCTTTATGGTGTCCAGCCATTCGTCTACGGAGTTACAGCTGCTGAAGTCAGGGATGGCTCTCTCCATTAATGGAGGACTGCTTAAACTGCAACAAAGAGAAAAGGGAAAGGCTTCGGTTATGGGATGGAGATGAAACTGGACAAAAAAAAAAAAAATCTTAGATGAAGCAAGAAACTGAAGGGGTTTCAGGTCCACTTGGTGTTCACAAATGCATTCAAACTGAAGCAGAGTTCACTTCAACTGAACCCAGAGCTAGATTAATAGAAGGACCAGAGTTCACTTTTCTAGTCCACATCAGACTTTGATTGTGCCTTCACATCTCCGCAAATGAAGCTTTCTAGGCAGAAGGACTGGAGTTTGATTAAAGCGGACAAAACGGAGACGGTATGAAAGCACCTAAGAGAATCCTTCCACTGTCTTCTATCTCAAGCCTAGATTATATCTTCTGCTGCTGCATGATGCTCACACACCAATAACTCTTTAGGACTCAGAATCTACACTTCATGATCTCAGGAAAGTTCCAGCTTCAAACATGCTACCAGATTTACTGAGGATCAACATCAATACTACAGGATGGACTGTAATTAACACAGATAATTTATCACAAAAATGATGAGGAAAAACCTCTAACTTTATCCAACCACACCCACATTTGACAGCAGACAACTGATTCTGGATTTACTCTGCCTCTCTCAGTAGGACACCTAGTAGCCTTACAGTCTGTCGGCATATATTGTCCTGAAAATCCTCTTCTCTGGAGGTGGTGCCTTTCCTCTGACTGGTGGCTTAATCTCCTAATCACTTAAACCAATATTTAATGAAATGCTGGCACACCGTCTGATCAAATTAAGCTGGGCGTGTTGCACAGCAGAGCCACGTCGCGTCGCCGCACACAGAGATTCGGCGAGCCTCCCACTTACCTGCAGAGAGTGTCCATGGACTTCAGGTTCTCTGGGTTGCGGATTAGCTTGTCAAGAATGGTGACTATCTGGCAAAAGCGCGGCCTCTCGTTGCGATCTTTCTGCCAGCAGTCCAGCATGAGCGTGTGCAGGGCTGCAGGGCAGCCCATCGGTGCGGGCAGCCGGTAGCCCTCCTCCACAGACTTAATGACCTGCAAATGTTCAGCAAAAGCCACGCGTCACTGGCGCAAACAGAGGGAAGAACTCTCCCGGCAAAAGTCGGATTCGGCTAACGACGCTCACGTCTCTGTTGGTGAGATTCCAGTACGGCCGCTCTCCGTACGACATCACTTCCCACATGACCACGCCGTAGCTCCACACGTCGCTGGAGGAGGAGAACTTCCTGTAGGCTATGGCCTCCGGAGCCGTCCAGCGGATTGGGATTTTTCCGCCCTATTGATCAGTCCGTTCAAACAGAATCCAACAGCGTTATATGCTGCTCCTCTGCAGTTGAGCAGTTTTTCAAAAAATACGTTGATCATCACTGGAAGTAATCTTTAAAGTTATCTTACCACGTGATTCATCATAAGGTATACTTTATTTTACAATTTATTTACTCTTTAAATATATATATTTTTTGGCAACGATTATATTCACAGCAGCAAACTTAAAGCTGCAGTATGAAACTTGAATAAAACATGATCTTTACATATTTGTCACCATGTCGTTACAGCATACTATGAGACAGATAATCTGTGAAAAGACTGATCAAAATGCACCGGTGGAAACAAACCAATCAGAGCCGGGAGGAGGGTGTTAGCGCTGTCAATCGTCCTCATGAACACGCTGCCAAATGTGCTAATGGGAGAGAAACAACTCAGCGCTACAGGAAAAAAAAAGTTTATATGTTGGTGGCCATGCTAACTAGACTTAGCAATCACAACAGGACTCATAGCAGAGAGGAAGAGGGTATAGGGGTGAGCGAATGATTGACAGCCGTAAGCCCCTCCTCCTGGCTCTGATTGGTTGCTTCTTGTTAGCACTAGGAGCACTGGGAAAAGTCAGAGGAGCTTGATTTTTAACAGATTATCTGACTCATGCCATACTGTCACAACATAGAGACAGTTTCAACAAATATGTAAAAAGTATTTTTTTTTTTTAATAAAAGTGAAATAAAGACATTGGATGGAGACTGATGAAGAGGCTGGAAAAAGGATTTCCATCCCTTGAACCTTTCCACATTTTGACATAAACCACTGGCTCGAATGTATTTTATTGATATTTTTGTGTTTGTCCAAAACCAGTAGCTCGTAATTGTGAAGTGAAATTGTTTCCAGATTGCTTTTGTAAATAAAAGCCTGAAAAGCTTAAGTGTGCCTGTGTGACGCTGTGCAGGAGCACCAACTACAGCTCAACCTTTCTTCCCATCAAATCTGACGAAGACGAGCAACAACCAAACATGATGCTGCTAGCATGCTTCACCGAGGAGGAGGAGATGAGCAGTGGAGACAAAGTGTTCAGCATGGAAGCACTTTGTATGCCTAACTGCTGAAAATGTGCTATATAAATAAAATTACCTTTACCTTTAAGCTCTACTTGTAGAACAGGTCTATTTACTGGATGCAAAAAGTTAACGTAAGTTTTTGAAAAAAACTAACTGGACACCATAGTAACCCAGCAGTTAGTTGTTTTACTGATTCACTCATGTTGTCATAGATTGCTAGACGTTTTATTCCTCTTCATTGTACAGAATCACAGCCCGTTTCAAAACTTTCAAAGAGTTTTGAAACAGCAAATATGGGCCAGCTTCTGAGACTAATTATAGAAATTTGTGGGTGCCATCGAAAGATTAGACTGTCCATCAATTATTATTATTATTATTCAGCTTGGAGAATTCTGTAGTTTAAAAGTGTATTAATAGCTACAAATATGGTCCTTTGTGGTTACATTAAACTAATTCGGTGTAATTTACTTAAGCACTGCAATTTATTTTGCTCCTCTTTGAAGAAAGGTGATTCGTCTTGCTTCTCTTTAATGTCGAAAACCAAACAAAAGTGCTAAACACGAAGGTGTAAAGGCGACACATCTTACCTTCATACTTCAGCCTAACTGTCGTCGCCTTTATCTCAGGAAAATGTGGCGCTTTGGTAAAAGTTTCCTAATCTCATGGCAGTAATGGGGACTCTATTAATCTCCAAGTATTATCGAGCATTAATTGGAGGTGTGCTGTAATGACGCTGTGCTTTCTCCACTATCTCTGTGATCCCTCTCCTATCAGGACGACGCTGAGCTGCTGCTCATAATCCCTCTGCATTCTGTAATATGATTGCTGTGCTTAGACAGACAGGGACAAACAAACGCGTTATTTTCATCTGTGCGCTGTTAAGTGATAGAATCGGATTTTGAAAGCTTTTTACTTTTTTCACTTGAAACTCAATACTTTAGCTCTCAATGGGCTGCAGGATTAATACGGAGCTACTCCCGAGTGAAGACCCTCCACAACCAAGACAATTTTTACTTTGCTCCCACTTTCATATGACTTGATTGAATTTGATTGTATTGCTTCTGTAAAAGTGTTTTGGAACCAAACTTTACTTTGTCTTACTTTCTAGGCCAAACGTCAAACTATGAGTTCATTTTTTTCTTTTAACAGTGTGAAATGTGTGTGTGCGTGTGTGTGTGTGTGTATGTGTGTGTGTGCGTGTTCATGTGTGATCACCCGCTCCTGTTGTCATTAAGTTTTCTGTCATTTTTAAGTAGATTTAATTAACTTTAATTTTCTTCCAAATTAAAATGACTACACTTTGAAAGATTCCCTGCTGTTTGTCTCACAGAGCGATCCTTCGCCTGTTTCAGACTGTCTTCATCAACTTGCTTTAAAATCTGACTTTCAAAGAATATCCAGCGCATATCATAGATAAGATGTTTAAAGGATATAATTAAGATCAAATGTTTAAGAAAGAAAAATGTACTAAATTAAAGACTAAAGTTAACTCAAACCTAGATGTTACACTGTCGAATATTTTATTTTGGCTGCACAGTGGCGCAGCTGGTAGAGTTGTTGCCTTGCAGCAAGAAGGTCCTGGGTTTGATTCCCAGCCTGGGGTCTTTCTGCATGGAGAGAACCCACCTGTGCATGGTGGGTTTTCTCCAGGTACTCTGGCTTCCTCCCACAGTGCAAAAACATGACTGTCAGGTTAATTTGTCTCTCTTAGGTGTGTGTGTGCATGGTTGTTTGTCCTGTCTGTCTCTGTGTTGCCCTGTGACAGACTGGCGACTAACGACCCGAAACGTTAGCTGGATCAAATGATCAGTCCGCCATCGTTTTGACGGCCCCTCTAGCGCAGCGCCCCCTGGCTGTGTCCCTTGGTCTTTATAGATCTTTCACAAAAAAAAAAAAAATCCAACAAAATACATTTAAGTTTGTGGTTGTAGCCTAAGAACATGTGGCAACATTCAAGGGGTGTGATTACTTTAGCTAACCACTATAAAATCCACACTGTTCATTTAAAATGCCTTATCAAACAAATGAAAATCAACATCAGTATCAAATATTTTGCCATAGGAATATTTTTCCATTTGTGAACGACTGGTAGGAAACCAGAGAAATCCTGTTTGGAATGAAAATCAGACAAGTTTTTCCATGGAGCCAATAATGGGAAAAAGTTTCTCAAAGCAACTTAACACATCATCTAGCTGAACAAGGCAATCTAATTTCTAACATGTTGGTAAATCAAGTCTTTAATGCTTTAACACTGCATTATTAATCAGTTCTTATCAAAGTCTTGCCTCTTTTGAGGCCAGACAATTCATTTGAAAGAATTTCTGAATGTGTGTGAGTGTGTGTTGTTGCATCAATGCTTGCCTCAATGTGAAAACTCACACTGGTGGTGTATGCAGCGTCGGGGTCGTCCTCCAGGACTCTGGACAGGCCAAAGTCAGATACCTTACACACCAGGTTGCTGTTGACCAGGATGTTGCGGGCGGCCAGGTCACGGTGGATGTAGCCCAGGTCGGACAGGTAGGTCATACCTGCTGCCACGCCGCGCAGCAACCCGACCAGCTGGATGACGGTGAACTGACCATCGTGTCTCTACAAGAAATGAGAGGAGAGGAGAGGAGAGGAGAGGAGAGGAGATGGTTATGGTGCTGCGAAAACGTCTCCATACCCTTAAAGACTTGATTAGTGTTTGTTTCTTTCTCATACTCGAGTGTTTCAGATCATTATCATATATATAAATAAATAAATAAATAAATAAATAAATAAATAATAATCTGAGGAAAAAGTAGTTTTCAAATTTCATATATTAAAAAACTTATCCAGTACAGACTGGTAAAGACCAGCTTCTGGTTTTACGATTTGCTGAGAGTCTGGGCCCTCGGTTGCTTCCTTCCTATAATGATAATAAATCACCTATTTGAGGTTTCATTTATAAGCCTCAATTATGCCTCTTTACTGTTTGATCTGTAGGATAAGGAAATCACTAAGAAAAATAAGAGAACCTTCAAAATCTCACAAAGCAAATAATGCCTCAACCTCACGAAATCCAAGACCAGGTAAGAAACAAAGTCATTCTTTAAAAGGTTACAAAACCGCTGGAACTCCAGCATACCACAGTGACGGTCATTAACCACACGTGACTAAAACAGAGACGTCAGGTGAAGTTTCCAAACAGTCAACCTGCTAAAAAACTCCAGGAGTGAACCTACGACCCATTCAGAACCTGACAGAAGGTTCTGTCTCAAGTCTTGATTCCACAATAAGAGACTGGAACCAAATGACGGCATCTTTACATCCTCTGGACCTGATAAAGAACAATACAAGAACAGAGCATTCACCATAGGTGGACCTTTGATCTGCTCCTTCAGCAACTGGACAACTTGACAGTTATACCAATAAATCAATCAATGAAATCAATCAGAAACTATCCAACCATCACCTTAACATAAAGCGCACTTGGTGTGAGCGGCAGGACGATGAACGGTTCCTGTGTTCAAGTTTTTCATTTCAGTTGGATTGAGATGATGCAGTTCCTGCTCAAAAACTAACAAACAACACTTTCCCTTAATAAATGAAATCAATATCTGAAAAGAGCATCTTCTATTTACTCAAGTCATCTTTGTCAGATATTAAAATGTGTTAGATGATCTGAAACATTTAGTGCGACAACGAAAAAGGAAAAAAACAGAAGGTCTGTGAGGGGGTAGATACTTTCTGGAGCCTTCAGGGGCATATTAGGGAAAAAACATAAAGAATGAGTGTGATGATACTGAAAATGAGCCGAGTAGATTTTAATCAAGATAGAGAACACACTAAAGATAAGACAATAAAGCAGTAATGTCATAAGCTTTAAAGTCTGAATCTAAAGCATTTTCATAGAAGCAAAGACTGAAGCTGATAGAAATTGTAAATGTAACCTGGAAGTGAACCTAGTAGAAACAAAGCATCAAGACTCACAAAGAAAAGCCTCTAGTCTTGTCAGAGAACCGACTCTTCAGTGGAGTTATTTTCTGCACTTCATGTTTTCTGCTCCCGTCTAATGATGGTTGCCTGGTTGCCATACCAGACGCATAAAACGCTTAAAACTTTCTAAGTCCAAACTTCTCAATTTTATTCAAATGTGTGGTCCATGCTAGTTTGCAATCTATACATCTTGTTTATTGCAGCCAAAACAGAATAACAACATCATCTGATGAAATCATATTTAGCATATCCTGGTCAATTCTCTATTAGGAGACACCAACACACCCTAGATTGTTTTTTCTTTTTTTGGGACATTTTAAAAGTTTGCTTAAAATTCTTCTTTTTTTTTCTCAGTTGGATGGAAACATTCCCACTGGGTTATGATCTAATTGTAACTGGTCACTGGAACAAATGAACCGTTTTAAGAGGAGAAGTAAAGATTTACATGTAGAGCAAACCTAAATAAAAACAGAGCTGCAGTATAAAAACAGAAAACATTGTTTCAAGAAGACTTAACAGCTGATTATAAATGAATACTGACCCTCAGGAAGGCGTCCAGAGAGCCGTTCTCCATGTACTCTGTGATGATCATCACCGGTTTACCTGCACAAATACACACACAGAAATATTCAGCCACCTTCATAAACGAAGCTTGTAATGTTTATTAGTACACCTGGTAAAGATGTGCAGAAGGCAGGGATGCACCGATCTACTTTTTTCAAATAAACTACACCAAAACCTTTCAACTGGTTCAGAAAGTGAAATTAGGATTCTAAATATAATATTAATAATAAAGCATGACATTGCTCAGAGCACAAAACATAGAATTACACTAAATAGATCTGACGTTATGGATTGGGAACATTGTCACGATCCTTTATCTAGAATTTTTTCTAGATAAAAAATTCTAGAAAAAAAATGCAGCTCCCCTTCTGCCAACAATCACCCTAAGACTCCATCTCTAACCTCTCTTGTCCGTTGTCCTGTTGCTATGGATACCTGACCTCAGGAAACTGGCAATATTGCTTAAGAGTCACTTAAAGTAGTTAAAACATTTTTTTAAAAGGCTTTCCAAAAATTTTATTTTCTTTCACTTGCATAAATTATGTTTAGTCTTGGCTTTACTTCATATAATGCCACATCTACTGAAGACCTTTATTTTTTAAACTGACTAAATGCTATGGTGTAAGGTACATGGGAGGGTGATGGGGGAGAGTTCATTTCTAATGACTGGGTCTTTTGCTGCTTTTCAAATGAAGGGCTGACATCTGTATAACTTCTCTACCTCATTTTTTTAATGAGATGACTCATGGTAATTGTTGCACTGGATTGTAGTTTAGGCATTAGAGAATGACCCCTATTTTGTGAGATCAGAGTCTTTTCAAGCTGTTTTGACAGCCATGTTTTCCTTTTCATTCCTCTTTACAATTATCCATTACTTTGTTTTGGACACAAAATATCCCAATGAAATTTAATACAGAAACTTATGGTTTAAATCCGATGAACTGCAAAAGAATTTCAGTTCATTGGATGCTCAGTGTTTGGCACACTGAGCATCTTTTTTTGTCCAGCAGCTCCTGGCTAATATACTGACAAATGGATGGAGTGTTTTGGCGTCAGCGTACTGTGAGTTACCACCCCTTCCAGTCGGATAACGTTTGGATGATCAAACTGGGCCATGATGGACGCTTCAGCTAGGAAGTCCCTCTTCTGTTTCTCAGTGTATCCCGCCTTCAGCGTCTTCAGCGCCACGGGGATGTCCCGCTTCCCAGGAAGCCTCATCCGTCCGTAACACACCTCTCCGAATTCTCCTGAAATCATGACAAAGCGACAGCAGAGTATTTGAAATGTTCTGTTTCACTTATTGAAACAGAACATTTTTCCTTTTCGATAAGTGAAACTCTTGGAAAAAATAAACATTAGTTTCTAAGAACTAATAAACATTAGTTCCTAAGAACATACAAATAACACAATTCGAGAATTGTGAAGAGTTTGAATGAAGACGTACTGGTACTGGTGAGCTGGATGTCAAAAAGACTAAACAAAACCAGTGCACTAAGTGTTGAAATTATACTCTGCAGCTTAAAAAAGCCAGTACATTGTAACAAGGTTCATATTATGAAATCTGGATTTTAAACATCTCCCAATGTACTGAATATGGACTCTGATAGGATTGTACCGATTGCAGTTTTCTGGCCGATTGTTGATTACCAATTTTCAAAAAGCCTGCCAGTTCTGATTTTGTAAGATACAAATATTTTTGTGTCTGAAATGTGGCTAAATATAGCAAGAAAGTCCCTGAATTGGCAACAGTGGGGTGACTGTTGTTAACTGCAAACATGCACACATGACCTGGAGGGCAGGGCTAACGGTCAAACCTCTCAGGGGAGAACAGAAGAGGATCTTAGACCTTTGCAAAGGTAGATAAGATCAGGGGGAAAGATCAGCTTCATATAAAAGTATCGGCCGATCACCAATCTCCCAAAATTAGGGAAATTGGCACCGATAAATCAGTGTATGCCCAGCTTTACCTTCACACATTCTGCAGCCGGTTTTATGAATGAGACTGTCAATTAATTTGCTTTCTAAGTTAAGAGACAGAAATAGACTTAAGGCCTGACTTTTCACATAGCAAATACAGGAACCAAGTATAACTTGCTTCTTATCTTGCAGTCAGGAGAGCTCTGATTTCCACGTTGTGTGTCTGTGTGTAGCTACAGCAGTCATATTGTGGAGCTGACACGGTGTTAGTATTCCCTGCCTGGCTGCTGAGCTGTGACTGACGGCTCCACGCAACGCTCTGATTCCACTCCGCCATCCTCCTCTCCGCTGCACCCTGCAGCCTTTTACACCGGCCAATGATTTTAAGTTAGCCTACTCAATGAGTCTTACTCTGTGTGTGTGTGCCTCTGTGTTTGTCTCTGTGTGAGTGAGCCCACGTTTTTTTTTTTTTTTCACCTGAGCCGATGATTTTCTCGATCTTGATCCTGGAAGCTTCAATTTCTCTGGCAAATTCGTGGACTGCCTGGCAGGGGTCCTCGTATGTGTGCGGGTCGATATAGAACCTCGCGTCGGGGAATGACACTAAGATAAACAACATTAGCATTTGGTCACATAGCGGAGGACGGGAGCGGCATCACATCTGAGCCCGAGTCGCTGGAGCGCACCGGGAAAGCCTGATGAAAGGACCGGCAGAGAGACAGAAGGAGAGAACACAAACAGACAGGGGAGGAAGAGAGCGGCCTCCTGCAAGCACAGGCTGATGAAAGCTGTTTGCTCTGAGGATTTCCTTTATTATATGTGGATGAAAATGCAATCCCTTTAAAGGGGCAGTGTTATGTAAAATCGACTTTTTTTGAGCTTTACATCATGTTATGATGTTGCTCCCTCATAAAAAACATACCTGGAGTGTTGCCTTCATTCTTTTATGCATGTTTGAGAAATCTTTTAATCTCCATGTCAGCCACTCACTGTGCAAAATGCCTGATTGGACCTAGCTCCGCCTTTGAGGCGCAGTTCCTCCTCAGAGATGCTGCTTCACAGAGCAGCCCTCCCCCGCTCAGATCCTTCAGACTAGCCCAGCAATAATTAGCAAACACCTGGTGGATCTGCACGTCTGTCAATGTAAGAGCTACTTCTTAGTAAAACACCGGTAAAAACGTTGTTTAAGAGCTAAAAATGGAGCCAGGTTGTGATGATTTCCTAGGGACGGAGTTTCAGAAAGAGCAGGAGTTTTTAAAGCAACAGAGGGCCAATTTCAAGGTGTTAAAATGGGAAGTCAAAAATTTTAAAATCATATTTATTTGCTCTATGCAACTGAAGTTAACATAGTTACTTAATTGTGCTATAAAATGATCCTATGACTAGAAAACACAATACTGTCCCTTTAAGAAATGTGTTGTAATCTATAACTAGTGACAACTGAGGAATGAAGTAAACATACCGTGACCATTCTGGTAATGCATCTTTTCCTCATCGGAGTCCTGGAACGCTTTGCTGTAGCCACAGTGTCTATACACACACACACACACACACACACACGCACGCACGCACACACACACACACACATAGAGGCACACACAGAAACATACAGAGCGATGAATACAGGACAGCACAGCTACATTTCAAGTATCAAAAAATACAGAATACAAAATCCAAACTGGTGTCTGGGGTTAAACTCAGACTGTGATTCAGAACATATTTCCTTTCTTAAAAGGAGACAATAAGAGGAGTTGGTTTGTAGCGTTCCTCAAATACTCATGTTTGCCAACATCTTGTCTCTTCTCAATCCAGTTTTCTGTACCGGCTTGTTTTATGAGCTGGATGTAACAGTTACACTCCTAGTAAGGCCTGTTAGTGCATATATTATTATTATTATTATTATTATTATTATTATATATTTTTTTACATATTAGTGTCAATATGTTGTGATAGTCTGATATGATCCATGAAAAAAAAAGGAAAAAATTGAGATCCTCTGCCTTCTCCCAGTACTAACTACAAACAACCAATCAGAGCAAAGGAGGCGGGTCTTGACGCTGTCAGGCACCGCTCCATGTGGTAGGCACCAACACATGCAGCTCTCTTCCTGCTGCATGTAGGACGTTCTGTCATGAATGCTAAGACAGCATGGCCACCAATGATGGTGGATAAAAAGTTTTTTCTGTAATGCCATCAACACATTTAGCAGCAAGTACATGATTTGATTGACAGCACTAAGCCCCTCCTCCTCTGACTGGTTGTTTTTGTTTGGGAGCAGTGCATTTCTTCAGATAGTAAGAGCAGCTCATAGGGGTGGAGGAGATGGATCTTTTCACAGATTATGTGTCGTAAGATGCTGTCACAACATGCTGGCAGTTTTAACACATATGTAAAAACATATTTTTGGTATAGATGTTACATCCCAGCCAGCATGCCTAGGTGGGACCCATGTGGGGACAAGGAGGGCAGACTATATGGGTCCCATATGGGT